GTGGCGTGGGTGTTGGGATGCCGAGAAACGAAAATAAGATTTATTTCATGAGTTTGCTTAAAAAAAAAAAACACGTAGTTGTGTCCAGGTATAAAACAGTTACTATTATATAACAAAAGATTCAGTGGCTAGATCCAATTGACTCGCTTGATCAATTGTAAAACAGAAAAGCCCGAAACATTCCAAACTCCTACAATACCACATATCTTTTTCGCTATATCACCTGAACGAAAAACAAAACTAAGAAAAAAGTCGCAAGGAATCTCAAGGAAGACTTTGTCCATAATGGTAAACATATTCTAGTTTAAACTGTTTATAAAAAATAGTCTCATATTTGCTGGAAGCCTAAGTTGTTTTTCCCTCCAGATTTTGTCGCTTCATCACACGGTCTACTGCGGCACCTAATAGTAGCGGGTTTATTATGTTAATTCTATTATTATTAGTAGTAGTATTAGTAGTAGTAGTAGTAGTAGTAGTATCAGTGCTCGAGGATTCTGGACGCGGGGACAGCGAGCTTTCTTCGACATCAGGATTTTTGATCCCATGGTCGTTTGTCACCGTAACCTAGCTCTCGATGCTGCGCATATGAGGAACGAGAACGACAAGAGAAGGGCATATGGGGAGAGAATTCAAAACGTTGATCAAGGCAGCTTCACTCCTCTAGTGTTCACAACCTCTGGTGGGATGGGCCCAAGTGCAAGATGTTTCTACGCCAGACTCGCGGAGCTGATCTCCGAACAGAAGCAGCAGCCCACAAGTTATGTTACAGCCTGGATGAGATGTCGACTGTCCTTCTCTCTCCTTCGGTCGGCTTTGCTCTGCCTCAGGGGAACGAGCTTCTGCCCCTACTCCGACAACTGCTGCAGATATTGACTATGAGGCTACAGTCACTGAATGCCGCATATATCTGCGGCTCAACCCTAATTAACACAGATAGGATAGCTTCTTATGTATTAGGATATTTAATATTAAAAGGTAAAATAAATGGCGGCGAAGGTGTGGCTATTAGGGGAGGCTGGAGGCCACGTTAAAAAAAAAAAAAAAAAAGTAATGAAGTATTAGGATATTTAATATTAAGGTAAATAAATGGTGGCGAAGGTGTGGCTATTGGGGGCTGAGCCACGTTTAAAAAAAAAAAAAAAAAAAAAAAAAAAGTAGTAGTAGTAGTAGTAGTAGTAGTAGTAGTATCAAAATGTTTACGGTGCATGGTCAATAAGAATCAGATCATAGGAGGAAGAAATAATTCCCTGATAACGTGTTTCATCTCTCAACCACCTATCAAGCTCAGTAAACAAACCACATTCTGATCATCACTTAAAGCAATATTACCTAAAGAGTTATACACCTTGAGATATATCACACTATAATCAACACTTCACTTGTCATACAGAACTTATCTCTTGCCAGTGTCAGTATTTAATGGCTCAGGTTTTGCCTACACACATAGATGATACCTACTGACACACACACACACACACACACACACACTCGTTGGTAGATTCATGGGTCAAAGGTCAGCTGTGTTGAGTAGACATGAGCTGACGTTTACTCAGTCTGAGGTCAAGCTGTACCTTATGCTTCTTATACTGCATACGGTTTGGTCCTTACACTCTGTCGTTCAGCTGGCGTCATATCTTTGGCGTCGGTCTGGTGATATATACCGGCGTCGTCTCAGCTGGAGTGGTTATATCTTGTCTATGGTAGTGGCGTCGGTGGGCGTCGTTTATGGTACAGTGGCGTCGATGGGCGTCGTTTATGGTACACTGGCGTCGATGGGCGCCGTTTATGGTACAGTGGCGTCGATGGGCGTCGTTTATGGTACAGTGGCGTCGATGGGCGTCGTTCATATTTAGCTAGAAAGAAAATAATGCTAGGACGAAAGAGAATGGTCACTACTAGGAAGAAGGGGTTTGGTCACTACTAGGAAGAAGGGGTTTGGTCACTACTAGGAAGAAGGGGTTTGGTCACTACTAGGAAGAAGGGGTTTGGTCACTACTAGGAAGAAGGGGTTTGGCCACTACTAGGAAGAAGGGGTTTGGCCACTACTAGGAAGAAGGGGTTCGGTCACTACTAGGAAGAAGGGGTTCGGTCACTACTAGGAAGAAGGGGTTTGGTCACTACTAGGAAATAAAGAGATTGGTCACGTGATCCTCAGACCAACGTCACTCACATGTTACTTAGCCAGAGCCTTTTATACGCCTCTCTCCTCCATAGAATTGAAACGTCTTCGCTATTCTTCGCCAGATTATTCACAATTAGCTGCACCCATGGAGCATTTTACCCCCATTAAAAATATATTTATCTTCAATAAGCTTTAAAAAGTTAGCTTAAGAATAGTTTTGGGAGGATTATATGGTTGTACAGTTTCACTTTATTAAATATTTACTCTAATTGGTAGTTTTTGTTATTGTTAAGGCGTCATAATTATGTAAACAAACGCTTAGACAGAGAGAGAGAGAGAGAGAGAGAGAGAGAGAGAGATTATCTTACTGTCTCTGTCTCTCCTCACTGTACCCCATACTACCCCTAGCGGCGTCTGTCTATCGACCTAAATATTTTTAATACAACAGAGCTGGTTGAGCCCGGATACTTTTAACTGTCCTACTTTTCTTCAAATCTCCCCCCCCCCCTCCCTCTCATTTACCTTATCCTACAACGAATCCTCTCCCTATCCTCCCATCCAACAATAAGCTATTATTGACCTTCATCCTTATCTACAGGCGTCAAGTCAAGTAGCAATCAGGCTCTCCCAGATTCGTGTAGTGAGTGACAACCGTGATGTCATTCATAAACTAAACATATTTTGAGTCGAACAATAATAATAATAATAATATTTGATAATAATAATAATAATAATAATAATAATAATAATAATAATAATAATAATAATAATAATAATACCCAACCAAGGTGTTTATCCCCTGAGTCACGATGATGACTAGAATACGAACACATGATCGCGATTTTTGACCCGGCGATAAATCATTTTTTAGGACAAAACTTAAAAAGAAAATTGTTACTGATATATCTCTCTAAAATATATGAGAGACAAAATGTAATGAAAAATAGTCCAAATTTCCCCGTTGATAAATTGACCCGAGGAGATCTGCTCAGCAAAGGATAAGTTTTCATCAGGATATTACAGTAGGTTATGAGGAAAATAATTGCCAGCCCCAACAGTTTAAGATTTTAAGAACATTTTACCGCCCTAGTCTTTGTGTCGATGTTTTGTACGTAATGATCACGTCGCTACCACGGAAAGACCTTGTTTACATACATTAGCGTAGCCTGAAGTGTCACACAACCAGCGTTCACAAGTCGTCCTTAAATATAACTTGAGGGAATATTATGACGTATTTTAAGTTGTTTTTGTTCTAACCAGTCGCGATAAAGTGTTCAGCTCTTTTTCGTAAACACAGATATTACTTGACATTGAATGACATAAAAATTCGTACAAACGAAATAAACATCATTGTGTTTTCTGGAGCACACTGAAAATTCCATTAACATGCAAACAACACCTCATCACACCAAATTATAGGAATAAAAAATCCCAAATGGTATGCGAACACTGACATCTAAACAATATTTCAAACCTCTGATGATATTATAGCAGTTTAAGAAATGTATAGCTACATATTGCGTGAACATTTACTAAACCAAATGTTTATACAAATTCGCCGTTTGGTGTTAAAAAGTGAAAGTGGTGTTATTTATACTTGAGGATACAGCACACTGGCCCCACACTATACTCCCGCCCACCTTCACAGTTAGGTTGACTAGGGTAAGGCGGCTTGGGAGCGAACCAGCGACCCATACAGGAGGCGAACGCTGTAACCATTCTTCCACATGCTTGTTGAGTAAAATAAATTCTGACTGGTCGCTTTACCTCTGTCGAGTTTTCCATCGTGTAATTATCTCCAGCCAATGTAATGTACTGAGGGTTGACATGTATTACACACCTCAGTAATGGTGAGATATGCTACTGTACACTGCCTTGTGATGTACCAGGAAGATAAACCTCCAAGTCTGAGACAGTGACTGATCTTATTCCCTCTACGCCCGTGTGTTGATCTTTGGGTCCGTTCTGCCTGACCCATCAGTGTTGAATAGGGACACGGGGGAGAACAGTACCTATCCTGGAACGGCCAATTGACCTCTTCTGTGCGATGGTAACTAATTTGCTGAATAGTTCTCAATCGATGCTCAATACAGTGATGCCGTGTTTCCTGATTACTGCCCGAGGCTCTTGTGGGTTGGGGACATCGGCCTAGACCAGGGGTGTCAAACTCATGGCCCGCCGGCCAAATGTGGCCCTTGGGATGGTCAGGTGTGGCCCGCGGGATGACGGTAAAATTTATCATCCCGTGAAATTATGAAAGAAATAGATATAATCATGTTTATTTAGTAAAGTGAATTTTACATACTTAAGATCAGACAAACCCAAATGAGGCATTCCTGGTAAGCCAGGTAAGGCAATGTGTGAAGCTGTAAACTTCATTCCTGCAAATATGTGATATAGCACTTGTGTTGGCCCTGAAGAGGGTAACTAAAATAAGAATTGGCCCTCGAAACGTATTGAGTTTGACACCACTGACCTAGAGAGTGTCGAGCGAGTCTTGTATCGATCGATTCACTAATGAACGTCTTCATTAAGGTAAATCCACTCTCACGGGCGGAACAAAGAGCTTCAACCATTCAGAAATACTTGGCACTGTAGACGACATATATTGATTGTCAAATAATTACATTAACGGTGGAAATTTTCTCAGTGGTGACTGACCTCACGCGTAGTGCCACTCAACTTGGCGGTTCTTTTGAAATGTTGACAATGTGTGTGTGTGTGTGTGTGTGTGTGTGTGTGTGTGTGTGTGTGTGTGTGTGTGTGTGTGTGTGTGTGTGTGTGTGTGTTCCACTAAATAAGACAAGACAGTATTTTGGTTGTGTTCAGTTGTTACTACTGTAGATACCTTAACTCAACCTACACTGGTTTACTTCAGACACGGGAACATGGCAGTTACGGCCCTACAATACTACTGTTAGACTGGGAAGCGCCGTCCGGCTCACCTGTCGCCTCTCTTCTATCCCTGCCGCCACCCTCACCTGGCTCAAGGACAACGAACCCCTCCTTCAGGGCAACACCAGGTGAGAAACCCTTCCCCAACACTACACCAGGTGAGTAACCCTTCCCCAACACTACACCAGGTGAGTAACCCTTCCCCAACACTACACCAGGTGAGTAACCCTTCCCCAACACTACACCAGGTGAGTAGCCCTTCCCCAACACTACACCAGGTGAGTAGCCCTTCCCCAACACTACACCAGGTGAGTAACCCTTCCCACACTCACCAGGTGAGTAACCCTTCCCCAACACTACACCAGGGTGAGTAACCCTTCCCCAACACTACACCAGGTGGTAACACACACCAGGTGAGTAACCCTTCCCCAACACTACACCAGGTGAGCACCAGGTGAGTAACCCTTCCCCAACACTACACCAGGTGAGTAGCCCTTCCCCAACACTACACCAGGTGAGTAACCCTTCCCCAACACTACACCAGGTGAGTAACCCTTCCCCAACACTACACCAGGCGAGTAACCCTTCCCCAACACTACACCAGGTGAGTAACCCTTCCCCAACACTACACCAGGTGACTCTTCTAATATTACCATCACGTGCTTGTCATTTAACAGAATATGTACACAAAAATTAGACTTTTTGATGTTTGTTGATCGATGCAAATATGATTTTAATTGATAACACACATACCCTTATAATTCTTGCACTTGTAAACAGTTCTTTATATATTGAAAAGTTAATATTCTTTATAAACTAAGTAACAGATACAAATTAAAACATACATTTATTAGACATCCCAATAGAGCAGTGTAAACAATAGAACTGATATTTGTATCTGTGGGAGGATGGCGCTTTACCTTAACATACGAGAATGTCGAAAATAAATGTAAAGGAGTGTTGGTGGTGCCTGCTGTAGCGTGGGTGCCTCTATACATTACGTCCTAAGTTCAGTCTCTATGTTTTGTCCGAATACTCTGGTTTCCTCTTGTACTAACACTGAACAATGAAGGGCAAACTTGTCTTGAATAATAGAGGGGTTAAACAGGCTTCCACCCCTCGTCAAAGCAGTGTATTAAAGCACACATACATACGAAATATCATCCTTTGTCAAAATTATAAAAACATAATCTGGATATTTGTGTTTTGATGAGTTTCACAAACAAGAGAAAACAAAAGCATTGTTGTTTTTAGATATTAAGAACTAAAACACGAAATTAATCTGCTTTTGCTTGAACTGTAAAAACTTATATGCGTATAAATAACGTCAAGTGAGGAGGATAAAAGAAAGAGAAAAGTAACAGAGACGTGATCGACCGCCCAAGCGGCAAGCGAGCCGATCAGTGGTGAGTTGTTGTTGTTTTTTTGTTTTTTTTTACGGGGATTAGCCCACCCGGACACAGGTCACTGACCCACATCAGGGCCTGGGGGGTAATAATAATAATAATAATAATAATAATAATAATAATAATAATAATAATAATAATAATAATAATAATAATAATAATAATAATAATAATAATACAGAATTATAAAAATGAAAAAAGATAAAAAGTGAGAAACAATATTTGTATGTTGTGTTGTCAATAGTAAGAGAAACAATTGAGACTGCAATTGTGTGTAAATGAGGCAGAAAGTCAGATCAGCAACCTGGGACTTGGTCACAATTTTCGTGATGTCATATGGCAGCAGGGTCTACCATAGACAACACATTATGCTTCCAGTATCTTCCCAGGTGGTAGTACCTCCCTGTTTGGTAGCTGCCTACTACCTATAACAGTAAAGGAAAGAAAGTTGCCTTGACGCGATATAATTTCAAATATTGTTATATTTAAAGTAAAATAAATATTTATATAACAGTGTTTCTTGATGCACATCTTAGTATTTATGTAAACAACAAGATTATAATTTACTATCTTCATAAGAGACTAACGTGATACTCCAACAGACTTACACAAGTATGGGGTCTCCTGTCATGAGAGAATTATGAAAGAAAACTGATATGCTTACATGGATAACTCTTATATTATTGCGCTTCCAGTTGGTAATAACATCTTTTTGTAAAATATATGTACATTTGTTGGGTTTTTCGGTAATGGTGGGGGAACAGGAAGAAGGGTGTAACCCAGTCGCCTCGTAAATAATAAATCAGTTGTATAAATAGGCAAACCTCTTTCCATGATAGTACTTTTGTGTTATTCTCACTGAACAGCCGCAAGATCAAAGAAAAGAATTGGGATGTTTATTTGCTGTATTTCAGATATTTATGCATGTATCATATGGGATGTTGTATTGATTACACCGCCCATCAGTTGCAGCTATTTACCTATCCACCTTGCCCACATGTCAGCTGCCAGATGGCCGGGCAGTCCGCCATTCTGTGTCGGCAGGTACTGGGCCCAGCACACACTAGATAATTTACCTTATTTACCTAATGGCCACCCAACTAGACCCACACTCATACACTACCCACACCGCTCTGGAGTTAAGTAAGGACAAGACGTGTTTTCCCCCGACAGGTACTACCAGCCGACACCTGGAGTGCTTCAGATCACCAACATAACCTTAATGGACGCTGGGGTATACAGGTATGAACTCATAAACTTGTGCTTTTTGGTAAGAACTCACCCTCAACTCACCTGTTATATGATCACATTATTTTGTTTTTGTTTTCGCAAGTTCAATAAAAATAATTGTTTAGATCAACGTCGAATCGTCTCGCTGCCAAGTCATCAAATTATTGTACTGTATTGTTTTCTCTGTTATGACGTTGATGTCATCTATTATGAACATTATACATTTCCTTTTTTAGGTAGAGCTTATGTTTTCTAATTTTTCATGAGAGTTGTTAGAAACGGCAAAAGTTGGCATATTGTGTATTAACCATCAGTATCGCTATTTATTGTAAGACTACTTTCAGCTGCCATTATATCATAGCTAAATATGTCTCTTCTTGCTTAATGTAATTTCTATGAAACATACGAAGCAAGAGTTTTTTTACCTTTAATTTAAAATGTTACAGTTTACATATAATCCCCACAAGGGGTCACAGCTCAAGATTGAAGACGCCGCAAGTCCAGAAAACTGCAAGGGCAAACTTTTACGGAGTGAGAGTTGTGAACTCTTGGAACAATCTACCAGAAAGTGTTGTGACGGCACCGAGTGTAAGCTCTTTCAAGACAAGACTTGACCAACACTGGAGCAGGTTCAGGTACATTCAGGAGCCTGTGCATGCCCAGTACTTGCCAACAGTGCGTAACAGAGACGTGACCGATCGCCCAAGCGGCTAACGAGTCGATCAGCGGTGAAGAGGATAAAAGTAAAAGATGTGGGTGATTTAGTGCTTCCTCCCCATGGACGCGCGCGGTCGCACTCCCACAACACAGTAAACATTCCTGTCTCAACCTGCAATTTTTTTCGCAGAGATCCTAAAATGTACATATTGTTCCTACAGGTGCACGGCAGTCAACTCAGTCCTCGACAAGACGTTTATAAGCCCGGGCGGGTACCTGACGGTAGAAGTTCCGAGCCCAGATGATGACACTCAGGACCAGCCGCTGAGACCAACTCTCCTGGCGGTGCCATCTAAGGTTGAGGCGAAAGTGGGGCATCGCGCGGTGCTCGAGTGCATCACCGATGTTATCTACACCCCACGGTTCCTCTGGTCCAGGTTAGGTTAGTGCACTCTTTCCATGGTAGATCTGATGTGTCATGGCTGTGTGTGTGTGTGTGTGTCGGCATAGTCGTATGATAAACCTGAAAAAGTGCCAAATCAACCCCCTCACCTGGGAGTCGATTACTCCACATCGTAACACTTGGAGGAGCACCACACGAGAAGGTGTCAATACTTTCGAGTTAGCCCGACTGCAAACTAAGCAGACAAGCGCCAACACCAGAAAGACGCTGCCACCACACTAGATGAAACCCTCCACATGTGTAACGAATGTGGCCGACGCTGCGGGTCTCGTATCAGTCTCTTTACTCACCTCAAAACTCACTAACCTCGGTAACAGCCCTAATAACTTTTATAGCATTGCTGGATGATCGTCATACTCGATTATGAGTGACAGCAAGGTAGTAGTAGTGTGTGTGTGTGTAATAATAATAATAATAATAATAATAATTTAAAATAATAATAATTAATAGATTATTGAAAAAGTTCTGCAGCCCAAAGGCTGAAAATATACATTGGACAAAAATGACTTATTACATACAAAGACATGGGGTAGGTGGGTCGTTTAACAAAAGCAGGGCCGGGTTAAGACTGTCGTAGGCCTTAGGCACCTCCAAGATATGGGGCCCCATTTGACAGCATACTCACTAATAACACAAGCTAGTACCTTTCAATTGAAAATGAACTGCTTCGAAAGATAGACACTAATGACATAATAAAACAATTTGCACTGCAAAAAAGCCGTAAAGTTTTGATCTAATAAATATCTTAACTTAAAATCTGTGTCAATTTTCCGAAGCAGTTGCTTTGGCATATTGAGTATGTTCTAAACATTTCCTAATGATTACGTTGTAACTTGTATAGGATATTTCAGAAACAAAAGTATGTATTAGACAACTGAAAAAAAATAAAAATTTTGTGTACTCTTTAAACAACTTTCTTCTACTATTTTGCTTTCATCTATGACCAGAATATACCTAAATAGAATAGTATAGAAAATAATCAAGTAACATAAATAGATACTAATAGGATTAAGTAATAAATAAATGGAAAAATAGTACCTCAGTATCAATTTAATAATAACCTGTAGAAAAAGGGGAAGAAAAGTTCTCGTATTATTTTTCGTAGGCCCCCAATATCTCGTAGGCCCTAGGCACTGTGCCTACTGTGCCTAATGGATAATCCGGGCCTGAACAAAAGCTTTCATTACTGAAAAAAGAAGGAACAATGATTGAACATACAAATTATTATAGTTTACAGTTGATGACCAGGGCCTGGACTGGTCATTGAGACATCAAGGGGTGTGGTGATCACGTGGTGCAGTGGCTCGTCCTCGTGTGTGTGTGTGTGTGTGTGTGTGTGTGTGTGTGTGTGTGTGTGTGTGTGTGTGTGTGTGTGTAATATAATAATAATAATAATAATAATAATTAACGGTTTATTGAAAGAGCTTGGCAGCCAGAAGGCTGAAAATATACAGTTACATAATTGGGGAATGGGTTTCGATTTACAAATAATATACAAATAACTTAAGTGATACAAATAAGATATATAATAACTAGATGGGAAAAAGCTCAAACTACAGGGCATTTCAACATAGTGACAGTGCAGCATTTTGTGCATGTGTGTGTGTGTGTGTGTGTGTGTGTGTGTGTGTGTGTGTGTGTGTGTGTGTGTGTGTGTGTGTGTGTGTTTGTGTGTGTGTGTGTGTGTGTGTGTGTGTCCTCATTCATGCTTTGCTGTGATCTGTGTTAGAAATACGAAAAGCATAATGTCTTTATTTACGTCAACTTACTTGTTTTTCTTATTTGGTTCCTGTTAATTTTAATTGTTATCTTGAAATACATGACCTAATATTTTTTTTTCTAATTCTCAATGTTATGTGTTACCTAATGTTTATTTATGTTACAAGTTATCCAGTAAAGCTCTTTTCTACATGTCATTACTGTTACTTATTACAAGTATCATCAAAATTTCTATTACCATTGTAATTTACTTGTTAAAGGTGTTTCTAAAGGTTTGTCTCTAATGTTAAAGGCATTTTGTCACCTGCTGAAAAACCGTTGTCCTCTCCAGACGAACGCTCCATCCGCACTGATGGTGTGGTTATAAGGGGGCAAGGCTCCTTAGTGTTCCAGAAGGTGCAGGAGCAGGATGCCACAGTGTACAACTGTTCCGTCGTCACTAAACACCACAAGGAATCCGTCACCCAGGTACAGTGGGAGGGAGGGTATAATGGAGAGGTTAAAGGAAGAGTGTGGGCTATACAAGAGAGAATTTGTAGAACGTCAAAGTGTGTGTGTGTGTCCGACTTCTGCCATAAGAAAAGTTTAAGAAGTGTTAGTTACTTACGAATTAGGTACTGATGTTCTTCTCACGGCAGATGATCGAGCTCTCTGTGTTGAAGGCCCCCCAGACACGGATGAACGTGACTGCCAGAAACAGTAAGGTGCCAGTCTTCACGTCCGTGGGAAATGGGGAGTCTATAGTGCGCATCAACTGCGCCGCCGAGGGTCTGCCTATCCCGGAGATACACTGGTTTAAGGATGGTCTTCCCATCCCTTTGTCCGGCAGACACCACCGTGGCACTCTTACTAAAGAGAAGAACTTCACTGAAGAGCAGCTGGCCATTGCTAACATCATGTCCAAGGACAGAGTGAGTAAAAGCTTTCTTTAGTTTATTGGAATTTGAACATTGTACAGGTACTTCTCAATTACACGACACGAGGGGTTACGTTCTTGAAGAGGTAATGTAAATCAAATTTCGTGCCAAAAAAAAAAAAACCAGTGAGTGAGAGAGGTGTCTGAGGCAAGACGGGAGTGTGCATCAGCCCCGTTTATACAACCCTTCTTTACACCACTTGTACACTCAGGCAAATCACACTTATGTACAACATATTCCATACATTTATTGTTACATTTGAAATACATACAGTGGTGAAAATAAAGGTATATATAACAGTGAGTGAGAGGAAGAGTGAGAGAGGCATCTGAGGCAAGACTGGAATGCGCATCAGCCCCGTTTATACAACCGGCTTGTACACAACCCGCTTGTTTGTACACACAACTTATTGTAAATGCGTGTTATTGTGAATGAAACGTGTAAATTAAATATTTTTTGTGGATTTTGGACCTCGTGTTAATTCGAAAACGGGCAACAACAAAAACGCGCTAAACGAGAGGTACCTGTAATTGTTTCCTATGTTCGGGTGATGAAGGTAAAGTTCACTAGGTGCCCATGGATTGTTCTCTGCAATCAGATAATTTTTTGGGGGGTAGACAATTTTCTGGAGTACTGATTAACAGAGAAGGTGTTCTTACAAGCCTTTAAACCACATCATTCTCATCCGTTCAGGCTCTACCTTTTCTAATGAGAACTTTGACTACAAGTACAGGTACCTGTCTCTTTTTCACAGGGCATCTACCAGTGTGTGGCGAAGAACCGTGTGGGCGTGGCCTCCGAGGGCTTCCTGCTCAATGTGGACATCCCTTCCAACATGCCTCAGCCACCTGTCAACATCATGGTGAGGGAGACCTCACATAAAGAAATCTTAGTGGCTTGGAGCCCTCCCCCATCAGTAGGCGAGACAGAAGACGTCGTGGGTTACATTGTTCATTATTTTGAAGTTGGTAAGTTGTGTTTAATGATCCAGTGTATTGAAATTATAATCCCACGTGACTGGACGAGTGATGGAACCTTGTCTCCAGTTTGAGCTGAAAAAAAAAGATACCCCTGCATTTTATTCAGTTTTTCAATTGTTCAAAGGTGACATAAAAAGATGTTTGCCCTGTTATTGAGGGACTCAAATTACATGAGAATTAGACATCAGTGCATGAGATGATGGGTGAGTACAATGTATGACTTAAGTCTACATAAGTAATATTGTGGGGTATGGGTGGTTTTGTTCACACTCAGGATGGGATGGAGAAAGGAAACTCACAATGTGCTCTCTGTATACATGTTGTATTGGATGTACAATGCAGCTTGGTGCTGGGAAGTGGCAGCGTGGTTACAAGCGTGATGTAGAGAGAGCTGGTTGGTGAGGGTACTCGGAGGAGGACAGCTTGTGGGTCGCCATGCTCGCCGGCGGGAGCAAGGGCCGCCAGGCAGCGGTGGAGGAGGAGGTGTAGCTTGCTGCGGCTGTAGCTAGAAGAAGAGAGAGGTCACCACGAGGTCAGGTCTTTTATAGCGGAGGTAGGCGTGGGTAGATAGTTGACCTCCGCTCCGTGGGCGGCGCTGGTTGGCCTAGACCACGAGGTATACACTGGGGAATTCGCGGGGTCGGCTACTCAGCAACAAGCAGCGTTTGTAGGGGAGAAATCCACTTCAATATATCACACTTAATACAGTACTGCAGGCATGGATGGGCAACCCACGGCCCGGGTGTTTGTGATTCTCAACAAAATCAAAATTTTGGCCTATACCGCTGTTATATATGTGTATGTTTATATGCTGCCTTTATTGATTATATATATACATTATATATTACGTTACTTCTTTCCAAAGTCAGAAAGTGATTAGGCTTGTATAATCACGAAATGTGTTAGGCCCGTTGCTACAACAACAGAGAATAAAGTCTCCAGGTAGCAGTATCATTGGCTTCTCTCCCACTAACTAATGTAAGGTACTACAACCGCCAAACTATTAAGCCTTAGTAATTTCTCGACCGAAAATATACTTTTCTCTTGGAATTGGAATTTAAAGGGTTTAATAACTAATTACTTACAGAATAACAGAAAAAACACCAAAATCACACCTCGGAACCCATAGTTGGTGAGTAATTATCATTTTTTTTCTTTTTTTTTTATCATATTGGCCAATTATTAGCTTATTAGCCATTTGGGTGGTGTATCCACTATTAGTACAGGGGGAAACCTGTGATGTTTGGTGGTGTCACACTGGATAACCCCATTCTCACATGTGTCCGGGCCAAGGCTCGAACCCTTGACATATTGGTTAGAGTTATGCTCGTTACCGCTGTACCACTAACACTTCTAGAATAACACAAACACACCAAAATTGCACTTCAGAAACCCATAGTTAGGGAGTAATTAGCATTGAAATAATGTAATTAAAATCTTCCAAGCCTTTAAAATCTCCTGAGCATGCTGATTCCGAATTTATGGTCTACGATTCGATTTTGGGGTAGTTAGTGGTCTTAATGATGCTTGGAAGATTTTAATTACCTTATTTAAATGCTAATTACAGAAGTCACCAACTATGGTTTCCGAGGTATTGCGTGAGGACACTCATGCTAGAACATTTTGCTCGGAACTGTGTTTATGGCCAATCTGTGGTTCATAGTTGGTGTTGCTTGAGGAGCAATTATAGATTCCTTTGTTATTAGGTGTGTCAATGTCATGTCTCAGGAAGCTACCTGGACCGTGTTACAGCCACACTCTGAGTGTGTCAAAATCTTGACTTTATAAATTCCCGAGTATGTTATAATTATTATCATGGATAGAGTGTATTATTTAATTGAGTCTAAACTGTAATAACATCTACTCTTCATAATTCCAGTATCTGTGACTATAATTGCCAATTTTTAGTAGATATGATTTTGTAGAAAATTATGAGAACAATCTGTGTTTAAGGACCTAGTAAATAAACCACAACATACTACCACAACAATAGTAAAAATGCAGTATTTCCACAAAGTAATTTCTTATGTGTTTCAGGCTCCATGGGGAAGGAAAAGCAGTACCTGACGAACAACACCTTCTTCAGGTTAGAGAAGCTTCGCGCCTACACCAACTATTCCATCTACATCAGGACCTTTGTCATATTCCAGGATCAGGGCGACCCCGTCATCGGCGAGCCTTCGGGGCCGCTCATCTGGAGAACCCACGCTTACTGTGAGCATTAACTGGTTCTCACAGTGAGCGCCACACCCTAATTATGGTCTCCTTTCTGACATAGCTGTGGTGAATTGTCCTTTCCTTAATGCTCAGAGTATTAATTTCTCTGTTGGGAGTCTCTTATGTACAGTATGTCTTTTCCTTTTGATATCCGTCATTTATTGATTGAACTTTTTTTTTCCCCCCATTCTTACGCTGAACTGTTATCTCTATGTGTTTTGTAACTGCACTCTTGTACGCACAACATTCATTTTGTGTAAGTGTTTTCCTTTTGATGTGGATTAAATTTCCAAAGTTGCCTTCCACGACACTGTAAATTTTTCTATGTACCAATGAAGATCTTGTGTGTAACTCTGTAAGGGTTTGCTGTCTTTGGTAAGTTTCATGCCAAAAGTAAGAAAATTAAATGCAAAATTATTATCTTTACTAAAAAAAGAAAATTTGAATAATAGTTTCAGTAATATTTACTCTTTCTACAGCCAACAAGCCGCTCTGTTGCAGTAAGTTTGTCATTAGTAAGCAGTTCATAAATACCATAGGCTGACACTCAAACATTGCAATTCTACTTTGTTCTTTGGACAGACCCACTCCGGCTGCCTCAAGTAACACTTAAAGCACTCTCTCCAAACACCCTTCTTGTGACGTGGAAGCAGCTGAAGCTTGAGGAGGCGAGAGGTCCCATCACAAAGCAAGTAGTACAGTGGCGGAGAAAGGACAACCATTACTATCAATCTAAAGATGTCGTCCCTACTGCCACCGAGTGTGAGATAATCGGTCAGTGTTGTGTTGGTTCATCACTGCCTCACCACTGTGTGAAATTATTTTTAAAGTTTAAATATGAGTTTCATATGTATGCATTTTTCTTTGCCTTGTAATCTTTATTCATGCTATTGTTGCTTTTTGTCAATTTTATCATAGGCTGATGTCTGTTAGAATCACTTTGTAGTTCTATATACATTATGTTCCTTCTTGTAATAATATACTGTACAGTATTACCTTATGATGTTAAAAGCTGTCACCACTATCGAGACTGAATTACTTCTTATCTAACTAAATTATCATGTTAGAAGAGGGGAAATATACTCATTCTGTCCAGTCGGGTCAGTAGCAATTGTCAGTGCAATATATGGCATCACTGTTACTTAGTACAGTACTTGCTGGGGTCGACTTAAACACATTAACCATATAGGGAAGTAATGAAGCACTTTGGCCATTTTGTCTAGTACATTTAGTAGTCAGTAGACCAGAAAGTCTCTCGTTCTAAGTAACCAGAAAGCCTTTCACTCTGAGGGCAGGACAAAGCAAAAAGTTTAAGATCTCACTGTTTCCATTGAATGCAATATAGAATTTATAATTATTATTTAATTTGCTTTCATCTTGTTTATATTATTTATAAATATGGCCTCTGAGGTCTAAATAATGATTTCCACGTGATTTGTACTGCAATTATTATTAATTTAATATTCTGTTAGGATTTTGAAGTAGATGGACTGCCCTGAAGCCTTGCAGCCCTGGAATGAACATTATAGTGAATTTTGGGGTAAAGCAAAATTATTATTTTTTATGTGGAAAATATAATTCAGGATCGTAAAATGTATTGTCGGTGTCTTTAAATTATGCCAATATCATTTTATTGATAGATATATCTGTATTGGAACCAGAGTAGAGAGTGTGAAAGTGGTGGTGGTCTTGAGTACTGTGTGACACTGTTGTATAGACTGAACACTGCGAACTTTTGTGTACTTTTTGTCACATACCCCGGTACTATAATATACAGGTATTACAGTAAAGTACTCCATAGTATTATGCAAAGATCAAAGACCTCGCTTCGCACTTCGCTGACAGTGTTTACTGGAAACAACGATCTAAAACAAAAATGATGTATGCAAGAATTCTGCTTGCATGATGTCTGTTCATGAGAAGGTACAGTTAAATTTTTACATAAATGGAAGGGGAAAGTTCATGTTATACCTACCATTTACAGTTTGTGAAAGTGTGTGAGTGATGTTGTTCCCAGCTGTGGCTGACTGTCTGTTCATCTTAGAAGTAACTAACCAAGAGTAACAGATGGGATTGTAGACATTAATTAAAGGGAGGACACTACAAGGAGGACTTTAGTCAAGGAAATGTGAAGATGGAGTTACATAAAGTTACAAGATGACTGAAATATTGGCAGAATTATTGTACTTTCATACAAAAATATTATTCTAAATACAGAGGGCTATACTGTACTGCACAGTATTAAAATATATTTCTAGAGCGATATGAATAGTATACTGCATGTAATTTGATGACATTTAGATCCATTGAAAGACTAAAGAGAGAGTGAAAATATACAATAAAAAGGAAAATGTGAAACAGAAAATGATGTGCTCTAAAATATTGTGAATGGAACATTAATGTGATGTAAATACTACAGTATATCAAAACTAGGGAAAAACTGAAAACAAGATAAAAAAATATGCTGGAGTGAAGTGAAAAGGAGAAAATGGTGGTAAGACTGTGATGGAAAGGTAAAGGAAAAGAGTAAATGGCTGAGTATGGAGGAATGTATGGTTGTTTAAGTATCTCCACCAGTGACCTTAAGACAGTCATGTGGACAGCATTATTATTGCATATGATAGATTTCTTGAGTTTACAGACATAAAGACAAATGCTCTCTTCGTCACTCCATTAATGTAATCAATATGTATATATATATACAGGTATACAGTATATATAAAACTAACTAATATGTATCTAATACCTGTATATATATTGTGATGAAGTATCTGAGTCTCCCAGATGTCAAGGAGGTTTTCTTGTCATACAACAGAACTGATGCCGAACAAGCGGTACGAGGCTCGGGTGCTGGTGGGTACGGAGGCTGGCTATCCTCCACACAATGAGCGCCGTCCTTGGGGACTCATAAGGATGCCCAAGGTGGATCTTAACCCCGGCCTTCAGGACATGCGTATCGCGGTGCATCTTTCAGTCTTTAACAACAAACCCACAGAAATCTTGGTAAGACTAACTGTACACCTTCACTCATAACAGCAGGAAGCAGCCTTAATAGTTTTGTGTAGGATGTGTTGGTGTTTGTTTTGTACTGTATAAGGTGATGTTGTATTTTCTGTGGTGGTAGTGGTGTGTATTTGTGGCAATACAGAGTTTTTGTGATCATAATCCTTTGTTGTTTTTGGTAATATTGTATCATCCAGAATACAATATTACTGTTGGTCTGCGCTTGTGCAGTGTTGTTGTTCCAAGTAGTGTTGTAGGTTTTGTGGTGATGCTAAGATGTGTTTTGGTATTAACCTTAGTAAAATTAGATATATTTGTAAGAATCTGAGATTAGTTTTGGTTTGTTTGTTTGTTATCTTTTGGGGGTTATTTAGTGTGTTAGTCTGTGGCGGGAACTGTGGTATACTTGTGATATTATGTTGTCTGTGGTGGTATGTTGGTATTTTCTGTGATGCTACATGTTCTGAAGTGTTGCCTTGTTAGTCAATGATTGTGTTATGATATACATTACAATACAGGGGGGGGGCCAAATTCGCGAGGGTTAGGTTCTCAAAATGGCCGCAAATCGCCAGATCCTTGAATAACATTTGCTGACTGGGGGGGGGGTACATTTTTACCTGTGTACAAAGAAATGAAATGTTTATTCCCTTTAGTGTTTGCCCTAAGGACAATTATTTCTTTTATCTGTATTGTATATATGTGTGCGTAGACACACATATATACAATACAGATAAAGGAAATTACTGTCAAAAGAACGAATGGCTCCCTGTCCCAGCCGTAAAAATGCTGGCATCTTTAAAACTACCCACAGACATTCTTGGGTACATCCAGAGTGTCATCCGTGAATAATAGAGGACTGCGAATTAAAAATCTGCAAATTTGGGGGCCCCCCTGTTCTATGTTATCTGTAGTATTGTGGGGTTTCTGGTGATGGTGTTATGTCTGTGGATAGTAGTTTTATCTGGTCTGTGGTGGCCGGTGGGAACACATTGCTGCAGTCTAGAGCTAAAAAAAAATAATTATAAGTTTTACATATGATACATTACACCCCAACAGGTGGAGTGGGAGCTGAACGCTAACCTGCTGCCGGATGTGTTTCTGTACGAGGTGACCTACAACAACACACCAGAAGAGAGTCATCTCAAGCACACGGAGGCATCAGCCACCTCTCTTGTCCTTAGTCAGCTGGGTGAGTGCGTCACTTTCTAACAAATCATAGTTTGTATTATTGATCTCTTTCTATCTGCTTTTACTTTTTTCCAAAATCCAATAGATTTAAGGCTTCATTGTGATTCGGTAGACATTACATAGTACAGTACCTCTCTACATCATGATCCCATGCCATAAGTGTTATCTTTATGTTATTATTTTATGTACTGTAGGTGTTTTAAGGTCCCTTGCATCTAGTTATCCATCTCGACGTCAAAGAATCATCCTCATCTATAGAGTCTCTATGACTTCACCAATCAGTCAATCAGAGTAGCTTCCTCATATCTGACCTATTTTTCTTTTGATTTCTTTCATGATCTTGTATAAACAACATCGTGTCCCTCTTCATATACCTTTTCTCATAGCAACATAATTTATCTTCAGCATAGCATCCCTGTCCATTAAACAAAGTTCCTTTTGATATGATACCTATTACCTACACCCTTAATAATCTATGAGGTCACTTTCACACTGACACTGTCTTGTAACACAGAGCCCGAGACCTGCTACACGGTGAAGGTTGAACCGCAGTTTAACAACCAGGAGGAGAGAGAAGGCGTGATGAGCATGAGCCGCACCATCTGTACCCTGCAAGTGCCTCCTGATGTACCTTCACCACGCAAATACACCGACAAGATAGGCACCCGAAAAGTCAAGGTAAGAGTTGGTTGGTCAGGCTGTCCCTCAGTGTGGTCAGGCCATCCCTCAGTGTGGTCAGGCCTTCCCCCAGTGTGGTCAGGCTGTCCCCCAGTGTGGTCAGGCCATCCCTCAGTGTGGTCAGGCCTTCCCCCAGTGTGGTCAGGCTGTCCCCCAGTGTGGTCAGGCCATCCCTTCTTGCCTGTGGCCCACACTGTTGGTTCACCTGTAATAAGCATTTATGACAAAAAAATTAATTTTTGCTAAAGAATGAATATGTTCTTTGAAGTGTCTGCAGCTGGAGTTAAGAGCAGCTAATTGGGTGTTTTCTATGCTATTTATTGGCTGTGTTAGTCAACCTTATGAATACTCCCCTGACTGTTATATAGAACTAGAGAAACCTTGATGAAATAAAAAATTCTTTCTCCCTCTTTGCTTTGACTCGTCTATATATCTTGATGCATCTTTGTGTGACTATACTTTATTTTTTAATCTTGCAGGTAAAGGTTCTAAACACTACCAGTATCTTGTTAACGTGGCGTCCGAAACGTAAGAGAATGACACCAGATTTCTTTACCATTGAAGTAACAAGTCTTGGGAAGCAGATGAGTGCTAAAGCCATACCCTTCCTCAGCCATACCCCTGATGTCCTTGATGGAGATGACCAGGGTGCCAATGAGCAGCATTTTGATGGTCAAGGCAGTAGTGGCCTAGATATCAAAGTACAAGATATCAGGAATGAGAGCGAGAGAAGTTTTCACCACGATGGACTCGTCGATAACCACCAGGATTTCCATCCTCAGGTTAGTAGTTTATAAATTTTAAGACTTTCTGTCACTGTGTGCATCACTGAAGTACTATGTCAGTGTTCTGATCTTACCTGCTCCAGTATTATTTTAGCCGTGTGTTTTTCTTTTTTCCTTGTTATGGTCGGATTCAATTGTGTGTGTTTTGTAAGGCTGTTCTCATTTAAACACGTTAAGTGTCAAATGAATCTGTAAATACAGTAACCTGTTTTTTCTCGTGATGACCAGCGTCAAGTGGGTGTGGGAGTGGGTAGGTGGGTGGGTGGTATATTCATTCTGGGATGAATATGTGAGAATTTCCTCAGCCTTTAACTGTACCTGAAATCTGTATGTTTAAAATATTAAGGTTCTCCATTTGTTGTAAATGATGAATATTGCTTGTCATGTTAAGTTTTTTCACATACTATGTCTTTTAGGAACTTGAGGATATGTCAGGAGAGGGAGCAAGGAATGAGAGAGAGAAGGGTAGTGTGCAGTACATGAGAGTGACACGAAGGAGGGTGGTGCTCACCAACCTTTTGCCACTCCATGGCTACATGATTGTCATCACCGCCTCCACTCCCACCCTCACTGGGACCCCCTCACGCCCTCACCACGCCACCACCCTTGAAGGAGGTCAGTATTGGACTTCACCATGTTTAGTCATGTCAACCTTATAAGGCACCCAGCAATTATGGTACTTTTGCCTCTGACTTCAACCTACTGAGCCAAAGTCAATTGCTGTTTACCCTATGGGTACAAACAATGGTGCTCTGATTCCCTGGGTGGGTAAACTCATGGCGTTTTTGGCAGGAGTCTTGTTATGGGAAGTAACGAGCAGGTAATTTTGTTGGCTTTAACTTTTGGATATTAGGTGTCTTATTACACCGTGTTTGTGAAGTTGTTGTGTAGTTTCCAACTTTAATAACTTTGTATGCACATTATGATGGGAACACTCAGTAAATGGCATATGAAAGGTAAAATAAATAAAGTTGTAGCACATTTACTACAAACATTTCAAGCATTTAACATAACTACCAACGTTTACGATACCTGTACACATTCATACAGTTTATAGGACCAGGAAGTCAAACACAGCAGGATAACACCATAGACTTTGTCGGGTATATTGTATTGGTTATTATTATAAACTATAAATATAAGTACAGTACTGTAGTAATTGTGGTAATACCTTTATAACTTTACCTTTTATATATGCCATTTACAGGTTGTGTATTAATGTGTTTGTACTTTACTTTGTTATGTGTTTTAGTAATATAGACTGACTCAACCATTTAAACACAGCAAAAAGGCACTCTCTTGACCAAGATATACCTGACCTAATACCTTTCATTTCGGGCCTGTACAGTATAAGATAAACTGATTCTACTTAATTTAGCTCATGTTCTTCGCTCTATGAACCGAAATTCATTGGAATTATGATTGTTTTGGTTAGGTTAGTTTTGTGAGTATTAATCACTTGCAGTTTGTACAGGTATACAGTACTGTATATGTGTGTGTGTGTGTGTGTGTGTGTGTGTGTGATTATCATACTAATACACTGTGGTCTCTATAAGTCATACACTTTGTTGTCTATAAGTAACACACTGGTCTCTAAATATAAATAACCTTGGTATCAATTACTGTACAGTATAAGTAACACAATGGTTTCAAATACCTTTTCAGTAACACACTGGTCTCAAATACTGTATAAGTAACACACTATAGTCTCCTACCATAATCAATGCATTATAAAGTTCATTATGGTTTGGCACAGTGCCCAGTGGACCAGTGAATGTGTCATGGAGCGCAGTCAGCCCTAAGGATGCCGTACTCACCTGGAGTCGCCCTCATCACATCAACGGCCAGCTCCTTTCCTACCTGGTCACCTACTCTCATGACCAGCTTGAGTGGAAAAACCAGACTGTCGAACATCACCACACTACCACAGAGGTCAGTCAAGCTCAGTGCATTGTGTATTTTGTGTAGTAATACAAGGTTATGTCATCACAATGAGTCAGTTAGGTCATTATGTGTCATATTGGTTCACCATAAAGGTCAAATCTGGTCGCAACTTCCTTACATTAGTGATATTACATCAGGTCATTACGGTAGTTATGTTAGGTCATTGTAGGTCAGGGTTGATTTTTTGTATTAAATCAGATTTATTAGATTGATTTGGTCAAGTTGATGGCACGTGTTGTGTTGTTTTAGTTAATAATTTCCTCTATCATTCGTATTTGTTTTAAAGCCAGTCTCTGAGGTGTCATGTGAATGATTACATGACACCTTGGTGTAGCATCATTAGTGTTAATGTCTCTCACTTATTATGACACTCATAGCTTTACAGTAACGTATAATGGAGTAAATAGTTCATATAAAAATAATCTCACATTTGACTAGAGGCAAGTAACAGGTTTATCAGCATAGCTGTATACAAGCTTCATACATTTCTAGATTAATGTAATGATAATTAGAATACAAGGTGTCATTTTTCTGGTACTGTATCTCAACTCTGCTGCACATACAGCATATTGAGCAACTAAATTCAAATCTTCTGCCTGACTTGCCTCCCACAGATCCAGGACCTGGTCTCCAACACCAACTATACCCTCCGGGTGGCAGGTGTAACGGGAGCGGGTTTGGGCGCCTACACCACTGTCTACGTGTATATCAGAGCCACGCTGGTGGGCTCACCCCACATCTCCACAGAATGTAAGTTGCCAAATAAAAATATTACAACTACTCTGGTGTCAAAGCTGCTCCTCTGGTTAACACGTGCTGACTGTCATCTTATTAAGAGGATTCAGAAATTAGGAGTCGCCTGAAGATTAACCTCCTCGCGCTTATTTTAATATAAAATTCGGTTCGTTACTGTTTGTCAAGCTAAATTTGAATAGTTCTTTGGATGATCTTTTCTTGTAGAATATATTTGCCACAGCAACTCATTGTAAAAAATTTTTATCAACTGAACTTATTGAACCAAAAGAGGGACTCCAAAACATATAGGTACAATATGTATTTTTAATAAGAAAATAGCACATCGTGACAGTTGTTTGTTTTCCTATAATTTATATCAGAAATACTGTACTTACAAAACTTACATTCCTGAGGCTGTCTATTAAGTCCATTTGCTTATAAGTCCAACTTTACTTTTGCAGATACCAACCATATGATAAAAAATGAGAAAACAAATAAATGAAGGATATAACAGTACAGTACAGTTATACTCCAATAATATATACAGTACATCTCACCAGCCTTTAACAGTATTTTATATATAAATAGTTTATATTAATTTTGTAAACGGCTGTGCTTAGGACTCGTGGCTTGAGCAGTCAGTTAAACATATGGACAGTTTGTAAGTATTATTTTGGTAAATGAAGGAGCATCTATTGTTTGAGATTTTGAAAAAAAATAAAAACTTTCAAGATTTTGGCTGAAACAACAAGGTTTATGCCTTACAGTAGTAATCTTTGGGTAGAAAAATCTCTTCCCTTGGAATTGGAGATTAATGTGTTTAACTACTGTACTTTAAAACATCCAAAATAACAAAGTAAAACTTCAAAGAGTGCCATCGAAAAATCATAGGTGGCTTGTAATTTGCATTGTAAAATTTATTAAAATTTGCCAAGTCATATGAACAAAAAATTACCCAAATATCTAAGCTTTTTCTTCACATCCTTAATCAGCATGTCTAGGAGTACGTGCAGTACTAAAGATAACCTTTTTAAACATATTGAAACAATTAAATGAAAATTTGAGTTTTGTGATCTTTGGAAATACTATTAAATTTACCCAGATAATGATGATCATAAGAAAATGGGCTACTTTACGATATACGTATGTACAGTATATAACTAAATTCGATAAGTGGATTTCAGCAGTAAAACTTTTAATAAAATACTATTTTCTAGTACTAAATTATGAATAGCTGTACAATATTATATTACAGTACAGTAAATAATAGTATATAATTAATATATATACAATATATTTCATGTAGATCCACAGTGAAAACGTGGATAAGATAAATCTTGATAAAATCACACGGGAAAAGGGAAACAACGGAGCACCTTAGCTTTCGTCTTTATTCAAGACATCTTCAGTTGCCTCTGAAAATGTCTTGAATAAAGACGAAAGCTAAGGTGCTCCGTTGTTTCCCTTTTCCCGTGTGATTTTATCAAGAATACAAAATATATATATATATATATATATATATATATATATATATATATATATATATATATATATATATATATATATATATATATATATATATATATATCCAGAACCACTGAACCAATGAAGTTTAAGTCTTCACTTATACAAGGTATGTTGGACCATAAAAAATATATGACAGCTAAGAATCTTTCAAACCTGAGGATTTTCAAACTTTAAGTAAGTAAGGATTTTTTTTTTTCAAAGTGCCGGAACTGACATACTCCAGATAAAACTGAAGACCATGTTGAGTTTTCTTTCACTTGACTTTGCATATAATTATTATTTTTCTTTTGTATACTTAATGATTTAATTTACTAAAACTTGTGTTGTATATGTGTGGTCGCAGTCATAGTAATCAGCGGGGTGTCCCTTCTGGCGGCAATGACGTGTGTAGTGGTGGTAGTGCTGTGCCTCAGGATGGTCCGCCTCAGACAGACTTCTGCTGCTGCTACCTTCCAGGTTAGTTGCTTTTCTTACCCTCCTGCTGCTGCTCCTCCTCCTCTTTGCTTATGGCATTTAAACCAAGTACTGTACATGGTTTTGCAACATTACTAAATGAGTGGTGTGTTATAATATGCACAGTGTGTATACTTTGCATTGTTCTGAGTGCTAAGTAATAGAGAGTTGTTTCTACAGTTTACCAGGTAAGATAACCTCATAGACGCTTCCGCCATTAATCAAAAAGAAGGAAAAACAGCTTTTAAACGACCTGTATCTGATAACAATAAGCAAAATAAGAATTTTGGCTTCAGCCTTCAGTGTATGAACTCAACAGGAAAATGCGGAAATGTATGGAATTTGATGTCCCACAACCTTTCAGGGTAATGGGACTTGTCGCATGGTATACGCCAATGGGGTGAAGGCCCTAGGCAGGGATCATGGCACGGAAGTAAATAATTACAAGCCCATGTTAGCCTCCCTGCCGCCTGCCACCCAAAACCACCACCTTGACACTAAGGTGAGGAGGAGGCTTGAAACTGCTGGTGGATGAGAGCGCATGAGTTTTCAAGGTTGTTTGTACGCTTTATAATCTTTTAAAAAAAATTTTATCTCTAAGAATAACGATAAAATCATCTGGGACAGATGAGTTGTATTGAACATAGTAATTTGATTTATCCTGGACAAACTGAGGACTTTGCCTTCATTTTTTTTCAGGGAGGTCCAGGGTCACGTGATGATGGCGTTGTGACTAATTGCCTTCTTGATGCTAATCTTGTTCGGATAAACGAGGTAATGACCTCTGAACATAATTTAGTTTTCCCTGTATAATGCAAATCATGTATAAATGCATATACTGTACTTTTGTTCTAATGTGCCAACTCGTTCACACTGATGTGTGATATCTCTGTCTTACCTTTCAGGCTGATGTGCCAAATGAAAATGTGGAGCCCCTGCGTGATCACGTTACGCCTAAAAACGTAGAGGACAGCTTAGATGACATAGATGATGACGATGATGCTTCCAGCAGATTACTGCAGAACGTCTCCACAGCAGAACCTGTATTTTCTAGTTTAAAGGACCTCGATCCAAAATCCATATGTGAATCCACTCAGGTTGATCCTAACTCCCCAAAAGACGGTGCAGGGGCAGCACCGGCCATTGTATCCTAAAACTTGCACTAGCCTTAATTCACGGGTGAAGGCACGGGTTTAGAGAGTAGTTTGGGCCTAAATGCCCTTCCATAAGAGGAAAAATGCTGGTTTTACATCTTATGATACATCTTTTAGTGTGTCATAGCAAGGCCTAACTGAAGCCAGTCAGGTGAGAGTGTAGGTACGGGTTCTGAGGGTAATTTGGGCCCCACCACCCTACCACAGGTATGAACATTCACTGGCCAGGTGCCAGAAGGAAAGTGCACGTGTAGTTTAAGCCTAGAAATACTGTTACAATAAGGATATAATACCACTGACACATCACAGATGGAGATGCAGATTTTGAATTTGACTTGTCCCCCTCTTTGATAACTCATAAATCTACCAGGTATTTGATTACCAAGATTAATTTTAATGTTTACAATGCATACATAAAGCTACATTGTATAAAGGTAAATATCAGTGTATCAGAGCTGTTATTTATGACCTGCAGTTTAACATGGTTAGCTTGGGCATTCCCTGGCTTTATTTTCCTATGTTTACAACAAGTTTCAACAGGGTTTTCTTTTATCACAGTAAATTCCAATAGTTACAAAAAGACGGGGACTTGGTTCTTCATTCAATATCTTTGGGTTGTATTTAGCTTCATCACCTCAAGTAGATAAGTTTTACATTTATACTTAAAGATAATTTTTACAAGTAATGTTGATTACTGAGGAGTTTAAGGGTCACTGCTGAACAAAATCACTTGTTATTAGTTTAAGATTATGGCTGCATAATAAGGCTCTACCACTATCATGTATAAAAGTATTGGATATATGATCTTTGATTTAATTTACCATAATTTGCTGCTTCAGTACCGAAAAAAGAGTTTTGTTGAACTTTGATGCTATGTGTTTTACAGTACGGTATACTGTTTATGAGTTATGTGCCTTGTACCCACTAGATATCTGCCATCATGTGCACAGATATGTGTGTCTCACTTTTTCTGAAATTTATAACTTGTTTTCACTAAAAGAAAATTAAAAACCAGCAAACTAGGAAACCCAAACGATCTTTTTATATTACTTTTTGTATTTATGTATTTGCATAGTTTTCATGTGTGTTAATTAACAAAGAAATTCAAGTATTACTGAGGCCTGCTGTTATCAATATCTGATCTGTCAGTGATGTATATTCAATTTTTAGTAATAAATAGAAAAAAGCGATGTTTGGGAACATCGCTTCCTCGAGGCGGTATGCCAAGAAGCTGATGCATGTTGAAATAAGCCAACTTATCACCGAGTGTATGCTCGTAGACATAAATATTTTTAGAGTACAGTATTGTAAAACTCTTTCAAGTTAGGTACTGAACAGCGTTATGTTGTCATAACTTGTGTCGTTGTTATACTGTACAGTACTTCCAAAAGTGTTTAAAAATATATTAAAGAGACTCATATTGATGTACAGCACAAAAATAGAATAGACGATATTTTGCTATCATAAGTTTCTGCATAATAATTTGTGTAAGATATTATATTTCCCCAAAAATTTGGAACTTCTCCCTGTTTTGACCCTTAAGCAGATCATTTTCTGTATTATTTGATACAGTACAGTACTTCTTTTTAGGCTTAAGTTTCCTGTAAATTATTGAACAGTAAAAATTTGTAATGAATCGTAAAATTTTGTCAAGTAGTATGAATCTGTTCAGTGTTAATGGAGCGACTCATCCCTCAGCAGTCATTACACTGTAGACTTTAAATAGAAATATTGGTAATGACAGGGCATAAAATCAAGGACTTTTCAGGGTGAAATGAGAGAACTGTTTATATATATATATATATATATATATATATATATATATATATATATATATATATATATATATATATATATATATATATATATATATATATATATATATATATATATATATATATATATATAGAATCTTGTTAACATGTAGCCTCCTAGTGTATAAAGGTGACTCAGGAATGCCATGTCATTTAAAATGCATTTGAGGTGATATGTTTGTTTACATTTTGTCTGATAAAATAAATTTGAATAATGGTTAAGATTACATTAGTCTCACACGCTGTTGAGGCGTTGGGGGCCAGGGAAGGGCGCATCTCCCACCCACAGCTGCAAATTGTCAGCTTCACACAAGGTAAATTATCACATTACACCAAATACAAGTGATAACTTAAGACGTGCCCCTAGCTGAGTGACACCACCGATGATAACAGACAGCACAAACAGCAGAGGGAGATTACAACACTGTGATAAACTACATGTGTTTTGTTCATTATTGATATTAAGAATAATATACAGTAATAGAGATATTATGGGTAGGGTGGGGGGTTGGGATGGGGCATATTGTTTATTCTAACTAATAACAGTTTACAAATACTGTATGTTTATAATGTAGTCTTTTTAACACAAGACACTAAGTGGGAAAACCCAATTGGTGATGAATTAAAAAAGAAAAAGATATTTACCTTTTGTGAATGCTTGCACTATGCTGAAAAAACTGCCAACAAAGATTATATCCAAGATGACTTTTTTGTGTGTATTTCATGCAGGGTATGAGTTCAAATTTGTTCATGTCAGGCGGCATGAGTTCAGATTGTTGATTATGTCAAGTGGGGAATTATTATTGTTGATTATGTCACAGATGGGGATTCACCTTGTTGATTATATCACAGTGGGAGATTTGAACTGCTGATGCAAGCAGTGAGAGTACAGATTGTTGATTATGTTGTTAGTGGGGACTCAAGATGGTTGATTATGCCATAGTGATGAATTAAGATGGTTCAAATGTCAAAGGGGATTCAATCTGCTACTGTAATGTTCGGATGATAGTTTTACCACCGTGGGAATTCAGATTACAGATTATGTCACAGTGTGGAAGCAAACTTTTAATATTAAGTACAGTGGGAATTTAGAGTGTTGTTGATGCCACAGTGGTGAATTTTGTCATTGACTTCTTTATGCATCAGAGACATACACAAATTATTGGGTCACAGCACAAGATGACTTTTTTTTTAAGAAACCACCTGTGGTGTATTTAAATGATTGAATATGTCAGATTGTGTTTTCAAACAGATGACATTCTAAAAATAGATAGAATATTAGGTTTAAACTGTTATTAATGAATTTACATGGTGTAGGTTCAAACTGTTGGTAAGTCACATGGTATAGGTTCAAACTGTTGATCAATTACTAGGTATAGATTCATAGTGTTATTAAATGTACACAGTAGATTCAGACTATTGGACACGATAAGGGGCTGAGAATATTCATCATATCATACAGTAGTGGTTTCAAACAGTTGGTGGGTTTAAAATTGATGAATATAACTGACTGTGTAGGGTTCAAACTAGTTATACCCCTCATGAGAATGATAACTTCAATCCATAAATACAATGAATTAGCCATATGGAATGTGACATTTAAGCCTCTTGAGTAAGAAAACTTAACCCTTTGAGTACAATGTCAGGGGAATAAAGTCGTCATACTCAGTGTTCAACCTGGGTAAAATGACTTGAGTACTCTGTAAGGGGCCCAGTCTTCATACCAGTTATCGTCTAGGAACGGAAGGGATGGATGGAGGGATAGAATTTTTTAAAGGCGTCTCGTAGGAAGGGTTAATTTAAGTTACCATTTTGGGGGATTAAAGCCTTGGGGTGGGACAATTAAGAGGGGATGCTTGGGATGGGAGACTCGAGATTGAATACTCAAGATGGGACCATTGGAATGAAACACTTAGCATGGGACACTGGACTGGATACCCAGGATGGGACACTGTACACAATACCCAGGATGGGACACTTAAGACTGAAGACTCCAGATGGGAGACTTGGGACTGGACACAGGGGATACAAAAAATGGGTCATCTGGGATCGAATACTTTATGCCACAGGGACTGGGACACATTAACAGACAGAGCACTTGGGACTAGACACATGGGATAGGTAACAAAACTGGTGATAGAGATGAAACGTTCAACTGTGGTTTTAGCTGTGATCGTGTAGCCTTGGTAATGTAGTTAAAAGTGTGCGTGTGTACAGTATATATATATATATATATATATATATATATATATATATATATATATATATATATATATATATATATATATATATATATATATATATATATATATATATATATATATATATATATATGTGTGTGTGTTTGTGTGTGTGTTTGTTTGTTTGTTTGTTTGTTTGTTTGTTTGTGATAAAAAAGAGTTGAAACTATCTATGTTAAGATATCCATCAAAAAATCCCTAAGTTTTATTTGAGAGAGAGAAAATCTTGCCCTTAGGTGTCGGCGCTTCGACGAGTTAGTGAAGAGTACTATGTACACGTATGTGAGATCCCTTTATAGCCATGATTATATTAAGTGTTTTAAACAGAAGGATCAAATTATAGTTTACTCCTGTACCCAGCCGGGCTTGCTGATCTTTAGTGAGCCTGTCAACGATGGCTTAGGTTTATTCGCTGGCCTCTTGTCATATTTTTATTAATGGCTCCTGGTCAAGACCACGAGTGCTTTATGTGTAATGAATGTTGTACGCCATTTTCAGTATGTTGAAGCAAGATTATTATTTATGGTGAAGGTAGGCCCACCCAGGAGGGTAACGTGGAAGACCCAGCAAGGTCAAACGGTACCACTAGTGTTAAGTAAGAGTGACTTCCGAAGGACAAAGCTAAAAGGGCACATGGATGGGTTACATTGTTTAAGTGAACACCAGCAAGTGAGGGAACACAAGGAAACAAGAAACCGGACACAGCCAATAGGACCAGATACCGGGCTGCCATTAAATGCCCGACATAGCTTATTTCTACTCGACAGCTGTGTACAAATCGACTAAATGGTACAATTAATGTTCAATGTGTCATCTGCAGTATTTACTGTCAGCTCAGCCTAACCCCAAGTCCATCAGTCTAGCTCAACAAAGTCCATTTGTGCCTTAAACCAGTTTGACATGAAACGCTAAGTTGGCACCGTAGTTCATTTTGTTAGAAAAAAAAGCTAACTTCGTGTTTCAACAGTCTCTTCACTGGTCACGGCTGGACGGTCACTTCAGAGGTCAGTTCTCCAACATGTCCTTCTGTCGTAAGCTGGACGGTCACCTCAAGAGTTAAGTTCACCAATATGCCCTTCTGGCTTCGCCTGGACGGTCACTTAACAGGTCAGTTTAACCTTGCTTGGTGTTCACTTCTGAAGTAAGGTCACAAGCATGGCCAAGTATGGAGAATTTGGCGTCACGCTCCCGGCTGCGGCATCACCTACCTTCGTATGAGCCACTCAGTACCTGGTCGACGGTCTGTGAAGGCATGTGATGTTCACAGCTCCAGTTATCTCTAACCCCCTTGGGTACTTGTACATAAGATTTTGGCATTAACATGACTCTCTGATTCACAAGTTTACTCTTTATAATGTACGTTCATTGTACCAAGTTAATTTGAAATATCTTGAGTAAAATTGTAATGACATTTTCCATTGGGTTATATGTATAGTTACAGATTCTTGTGTAACTATATATATATATATATATATATATATATATATATATATATATATATATATATATATATATATATATATATATATATATATATATATATATATATATATATATATATATATATATATATATATATATATATATAGTTAATGCGAGAGAAAAAATCTAAAAGCAAAACAAGACCAGCTTTGCTTCAGGTGTCTCCTAGACAATATGATAGGTATTATAATGTATAGGAATAATCTAGTTCTTTTTGTTGTCTTGTAACTGTTACTATACCTCACAGTGTAGCTATAAGAAACTTGTACAGTTAATATCAAGTATTAACAAAATTCTTCCCTGACATTCCATGGAAGAAATGGTGATGGCAGAAGAGGCCATGGCAGCAGTGTCGCGGCCATAAACAGAGCCGCACAAGATGGCGCTGGATGCTGGTCCCATGGGACATGTCCACGCACCGCCCGTCACAGATGGGGAAATAAATTCAGAATAGACCCATGTTTTATTTTACCTTCAATGCTTTAACGAATACTCGGAGCAAGTCCACAATTCAAGAGAAAATTTTTATTAAACTGAAAAAAATGTCTTGTATAAAATTAATAAATAAAATATATGGTCTTCAAGTAGCAATTGGTTTAAGTTATAAGTAACAGTGGCATGTTACTGTTATTTGCTTGACGTCTTTGAGGACTTTATCGGTAAGTATGGGCTGTCATCATCACCAGGAACTAATATTGAAAATGTATGGAGCATCCCTTGTCTTTAGCGCTGTCATGTTACTAAAAAATTAGATGGCATGGATGTGATTGGGTCTTGAAAAAAAAAAATTATCTGGGGGTCTGGGGAAACGCCTACCCAAGAAGTTTATACCATATTTAACAGAATTTCTCACATTGTTACTCATTTCCTGCTGTAATGTCTTCTGCTGTAACATGCTTCTATACATACTGCTGGAGAGTTTTATGTTCCTACACATCATAAGGTCACCCTACAGCCCTGACCTCCTGGGGTACACACATGCCTTACAGCACTGACCTCCTTTGGGTCACACACCTGCCATACAGCCCTGACCTCCTGCTGGACACACACACACACACACACACCTGCCCTACAGCCCTGACCTCCTGCTGGACACACACACGCCCTACAACACTGACTTCCTGCTGGACACACATGCCTTACTGCCCTGACCTCCTGCTGGACACACACCTGCCCTACAGCCCTGACCTCCTGGTGAACACACATGCCCTACAGCCCTGACCTCCTGCTGGACACACACCTGCTCTACAGCCTTGACCCCCTGGTGGACACACACCTGCCCTACAGTCCTGACCTCCTGGTAGACACACCTGCCCTACAGCCCTGACCTCCTGGTAGACACACCTGCCCTACAGCCCTGACCTCCTGGTAGACACACACACACCTGCCCCAGGGGCACTCCCATATGCGGACGCTCCCCGAGGGGGCACTCCCAAGGGCAGTGGGGTCCCCAGGGGCCCTCCTTAGGGGTGGTGAAGACTCTCAAGGGCCCTGCCAGGGGTTGCGGCGCCCTGGGACCCTACCAAATGCGGCGGTGCCCCAAGGGCCCTTCCCGTCGGGGTGGCGCCCCCAGGGACGTCAGCGTCCACCGCAGCCCTCCCAGAGGCACTGGCGCCCCTAGGGGTGGCGGAGCCCCCAGGAGTCCTGCCAGGGGCTGTGGCGCCCCTAGG